AATTGGCAGTACTCAAGCTAACCTCAGAAAGGGCTTCTATCAGACAGCTGCCACTGAAATTACCCATAAAACTACACCTATATTTTATTTCAAATTACTAAATACTTATTTCTAAGTAGTTCCTTAGCAATAGCAATGTTCATGTGTTTTTTCCTGAAAACAGTATATCATATTGAAGAATTTCTCTGGTTTCTAGACTGGTACTGATGCATTTGGTGGTACGGAGGATGGAAGGAAGAGAATTAGAATACAAAAAAAATACATCAATTCCTTTTAATGAAAGTCAAGTCTTTTCGGAGATACCTTAAATTTGCAGTTACTGTTTACTAAAGGACAATCATAGTCCAACGGATACATTGCTCCAGACACGTATTAGCTGAATGTAAGATAAAACAGCTCCCCAAAATCCTAAGAAAAGCTCCTGAACAGAGGCACAGAGTTTGTTTTAACCTAAAAATCATTAGCAAACTGTTTTTTTTCCAGAAAAAAATACCATAATGGCTCGCTAAGTAAATAGGTTTATGAAAAAGTCTCTAATAAACGGTAAAATTCTTACTACTCTGATGTAACTGACTATCTGATGCAGTAATAGTGAAGAAGAACCCCAAAGGAATCAATTATACTAATGGCTAAGTGCATTTTACCCATAGAAGAATCTCTGTATAAACAGCCAATTCTCCTTAGAGAAAACCAAAGTAAAACTACTGATAATTTTCCAAAAGCTGTCATAACATTCCTTATTAACTGAAATTTAGTATTTGGTACTGCTACTAACAGCAGTGAAATTTAAAGACAGGTGTTAAAAGTCACTGGCTTCAACTTTTTTAACTTGAATTGAAATTTGACATTACACAGCACCTCTTGGTTGTTGTAGTTACAAATAAATCAAAAGAGAGGCTTTCATGATCTTAGGAGTTCAAAATTATTCCTAGTATAATTGGAAATGTGGCCCCATTACAAAAATTTCCAGACAAATTTAGCTTATTTATAAACACATAGAAGGACATGGCATACTGATTGCAATATTCAAGACTGTGACTACTGGCACCTACTTTCATCAGAAATGCTCCCAAAGCATTGACAGCGGGTCCAATGGCAAACTGAATCAGGCAATCCTACAATATCTTTACTATTTTTAGAGTATGAGAAATGTAAGGCATTATTCCCTGTAGTCAGCTCCTCAGAGACAAAAAAAACCCCAGACTTGCAATAAACAAGAGGATTCAATAGCCCACCAAAAATAGCACAGTAACGTTTTGTTGATATTTTGTCAACTCACCACCTCAGACTTCTAAGCGCTACATTAGGCATCAAACCAGGTAAAATTTCTTCCCATGAATATCAGTTAATTCCAGTCAATATGCAGTGAAAAAGCAATTTTTTCACTGACCTCAAACAGGATTGATCTTGGTATTAAATAAAACTTAACTGCCAAACAACATACAGGCCAGTCATCTCAAGCTATGGCAACCATCAGTCCACAGTAGCTTTGTTGTGAGCTGGTACATCTGCTTCAGCTGGGCTTATGAGAGCAACCATCCGCATTTACATTAAAGAAACAGCAAAGACAGAAAATGTGCTAAACCTTGTCCTTAAGGGTGCGCACCTCAAGAAAATAAAAAAGTTTATAATTGGGGAAAAAAAAAATATAAATACAAAATAGAGCAATGACATTTTTAAAACACATTTTAAAAAAATTTAAAGCTTTGAAGCTACTAAGTCAAGATAAAATAACATAAAATGATTTATAACAGAACTTCCCACTGTGTCCTTCCAGGCAAGTCCTTGCTTACTGGACTGTTTTCAAACAAATAAGTGATTTCCTGTGTTGCACGAAATTCTGCCCAATTCTCTCTGCTTCTTAGGAAGATCTTCTATCCATCACCAAAGAGATCTAGCAAAGTCTGCATCCTAATACTCAAACTAGTCTCTCCATGTAAGGCTTCTACAGGTCTCCGCAATCTCTGGTTGATGCCTAGATTAGCCAGTAGCTTCCCTGAGCTTAGTGTCAGACCCCAGGCAAGCGAAGGACTAGCTACAGTAGAGACTGTATTGGCTCAGGGACCACACAAGCAAACTGGAAATACACAAGTGCATGTGACCGGATGGGATGCCTTTCAGGAAGCTGATGCAACTGGCCGGTGTCACACAAAGACCACACTCTAACGAAAGGTCACATCCATCAAGGGAAGCTCCCGATGACAGGAAAAACGCAAACGTCAGACCCATCTTCAGTCTGACCTCAGTTCTCAATAAGCTTATGGAGCACATTTTCCTGGAAACCATGCCCAGTCCAATGAAGAACGAGAAGGAGATCGAGAATAGCTGACAGGACTTTACCAGGGACTGACAAACTTTATTGCCTTCTGTGATGCAGAGACTGACTCCATGAACTAGGGGAGACCATAGTCATAGTTTACCTTGACTTCAATGAGGCTTTCAGCAAGGTTTCCTTAGTATCTCTGTAGACAAATTGGAAAGATATGACTCAGACAGGTGGACTTCAGGGTGGGTAGAAAATTGACAGGACTCTGAAGATTAACAGTGAAGCCTGCAGGTTAAAGGATACGATTATTCCCCCTTTTTAGCACTTGTGAGAGTGAGAGTACCTAGAATGCTTCTTTGGGTTCTCCTGCCCACCACACTGACTTACTGGAATGAGTTCAGTGGTGGCAAGAGGACTACAAGGCTGCAGAGAAGGTCAAGGAGGGATCTAACTGCTGTCTTCGACTACCTAAAGGAAAGGCAACAACAGAAAAGATTAAGCTGGTCTCTTCCTGGAGGTGCACAACGAAAAGAAAATAGATAAGGCATGAAAGCTGCAAATTCTGAACAGATACAAGGAAAATAACTTCATGGTGAAGCCAAACATTGGAATGGGCTGCTGAATCACTGTCCTTGGAGATACTCAAAACATGTCTGGACAAGGCCCTGAACAACCTGATCTAAGCTGGCCCTGCCTTTCACCGTGATCTGGACTAGATGACCTCCAGAAGCCACTTCCAAGTTAAATCATTTCATCATGATTCTATGATTTGGTCCTTTTCGGAAGCAGTACCAAAATTCACTTGCCTCAGGCAGCTGCAAGAGGAATTAGTTTATTTCTTGTACAAGTAAATTGTTGGATCCGTATCATCTGAGTAGTTAAGAGTCCTCTAGCATCGTCTAGAAAGCTTTGTCAGTTTGAAATCCATGCATAGGATGTGTAGACACAAGCTATAGTCCTAATTCTTTCCCATTTTCCCTTTGAAGAAATTTTAGCTCTTAGATATTGTTGGTCCTCAGGCTCTTAGCCCTCCGCTGCACATTTACAAACAAGCCATACGGGAGATGACTTTTCCCGGGGAACACAGCAGCATTATAGATGTTAGAATGTGTACCCTTGTAGTAACAGTAAAAAAAAAAATTAAAAAAAAAAATAAAATTTGAGCATCATTGGAATTACTTATGTACTC